AACCAGTCTGCAGGCGGGACCCAGCCAAGCGGCCTCACCTGGCGGTACCAGTGTTTGACCAGCAGGATTAAGTTCTTAAGCTTGATTGGACGAGTGTTCACAAAGTCCCTTCGGAGTTCTGTGAAGCAGGCTGCGTGCTCCCCATCCCGGCAGCCACTGCTGAGGAGGGAGGAGTATACCTCAGGTGTGGGCTTGACTCCAGAGCGGGGCTGTCCTGAGGGCAGCAAGGGAGGCGGGTTAGGAAGGACACTGGGCACTGAGCTCAACCTGGGAGGGCAGTGGCTTGAGGAGACAGTGGGTTGGATACAGGGGTGTGAGGGCCTGAGAGGAAGAATGGGTTTCAAGGTGGCTGAACAGAGAGAAGTTTCCGGCTAAGTCAGAGATGCTGGGGCCTGCCTGTTGTGGTCAGGAGCTGGTCTCAGCGAAGAACAGGCGACTATGGCCTGCAGCTTGTCCCCACTCTCAGCTGCAGATGGAGGCGTATTTTGGAATAAGTCAAAGTCTAGCTGGAACATGTCTGAGAATTCAAAATTCTCATAAAGAGAACATTTTCATCAGCCCCTTGTTCACATAAGTCTTAGTTTTCAGGGCTGAGGGACAAGCACTGAGCTCAGGACCACAGACCAGCAGGACCAGGCCTTCCTGATTCCTGTGGTGTCTAAACTGGATATATTTAGGCAAGAAAGTTAGGTTCAGAGAGGGTTTAGGGGCCTTTCTTAGGTCACACAGAAAGTGGGTGGAAGGTCAGAATGCAGCAACCTATCTTTCTCCTAACCATGGCTCCTCCAACTCTGAATCAGGCCGAGGACCTCTCACCCAGCACATCAAAGGCAGGCACCAGGCTAACATCCATCCAGTTTTCCTGATCTGCTGACATCAGCCAGAACTGCAAGACGCCAGTCGCCTTTGGCTCAGAAAACTGAAAGGTCAGTCCAGGCCCAGGGTGGTGTCCCCAGGACTCCAGCAACGCCCGCATGGCACCCAGGGTCTCTGTGCATCTGGTCTTCTGGTCCCCAAAGCTCCTGAAGCAGTTGAGGAAGACTACAAGTTCTGCATCACAGCCACCCCTGAGAGCTGTGCCCCGGGCATACGCTCCTCCCTGTGAAGAGAAAAGACAGCTGGGGACCTCACGAAGGACTGAGTGGGCCGTGTGGGCTGAGGAGCAGCTTTCTGCGTCTGACACCAGACAGAACCCGGGTCCTGCTCACGACAGCCAGTCCTGAGATCTGGAAGAAGGGACTTCAATCTGTAAACGTGTGATTGTCATTTGATGCTAGGCACCAGCCCCCACCTGTTCCTTTTCTATTTTACAAAGATTTTCATTTCATGTGTGTGAGTGTTTTGTTGTACATATGTATGTGTGGTGCATGTGTGCCCAGAGTCCACAGAGCCAAGAGGAGGAGTGCTGGATCCTTTAGAACGGAAATTACATTCAGTTGGGAGCTGCCAGGTGGGTGGTAGGAACTGAACCTGGGTCCTCTGCAAAACCCAGCCGGAGCTATGAACCCCCCCAAGCTGTCTCTGCAGCTCCCTTTTCCATTTTCACATGTGTGCATATTTGCAATGTGTGGGCACACACGCATGTGGACATGTGTATGCCTGGGGACGCACTACGTTGATGTCAGGAATCGTCCCCAGTCACTCCTCCGCCTTACTCACCGAGGCAGAGTCCCTGGATCAAACCCAGCCCTCGCCAATATGGCTAGTCTTGATGGCCTGCTTGCTCTGAGGATTCTGTCTCCCTCTTCAGAGACAAGGATTATGTGGTCTCTGGGGATTTGAACTCCAGCCCTCATGCTTGTGTGGCAAATGCTTTAACCACTGAGCTGCCCCTCCAGGCTCCATTCTCAGTCCTTTCAAAACGGAACCAAGTGTGGTCGGGTACGTTCACGTTCACTGTGGCACAAGCATCGAAGTGTGCTGTGACAGGCCTAGTGTTTCCGGTGGTTTGATGTCAGACTTCCGGCCTGAGGACCCAGGAAGGAGACTTCCACGCCCTGTGCCCTACATCTGCCACACGTTATCTGTTCCCAGAGCACAGCCACCCTGGTGTGGCCACGTATGGTGGCAGATACAGGCGCTTGAGCCTGACCACAGGATGAGAATCAGATTGTGGTATAGGTCCCAACCCAGTCTGAGGCCCTTGTCATTGCAACGATGACTCCAGGCCCCTCACTGCTGTGTGGAGGGCAACTCACCCTCCCTAAGGACGCTGGGATCCTCACCTCACAAGGGAAAAAATGGGAAAACAGGGAGGGGATGCTTCCATCTCCCGTTCGTCAAGTCAAAAGCAGAGACTGAGGTCTCAGTGGCGCAGGGAGAAGGTCTTTTTCCTCACATAGGGTACTGGGATCAATTTTGGTTTTCAAACCCATACCATGGGGAGTTTAAAGAGGCTTTGATCCACAAGCCCTGTTCCTTCCACCTCTACCTCTGTCCTCTCTGTGTGATTGAAAAGAAAATTTCTAGCCTGGTGGTGGTGGGTGGCCTGTGATGGCCTGTGGTGGCCTGTGCTGGCCTGTGGTGGCCTGTGCTGGCCTGTGCTGGCCTGTGGTGGCCTGTGGTAGCCTGTGATGGCCTGTGGTGGTCTGTAGTGTTCCACCTTCCTAACCCCAGTACTGAGGGGACATGATAGATCCGAGATATTCACTTTCTAGAGCAGGTAACTGTGTCCCACAGGACAGGCAGTTTGCACTGCAGACGCTTCGGGGACTGCTGGTCACCTGAGATAGGGGCCCATTCTGACATCGATCCTGAGGTCTGTGACTCCCAAACCCTGTGCCTTCCGTCTTGACTTTTTTGGCCAAGCTGGGAACCTCAGCATTCCAAGAGCCCTTTCAGTGGGGGAGAGATGCCCCTGAACCTCAGTGTGGGGCCTTGGACCTGGAGCTGACCTTCCTCTCTCAGAGACAGAGTTGTCAGAAGCTACAGATGGATGTCAGTCTTGAAGTCCTGTGGGGGTTTTCTAGAGAGCTGTGGATGCCAAGACTTTAGACAGCCTTCGGCTACTGCCCTGCAGGCTGCCTCATAACCCTGTACTGTACAAAAACAATCCTCAGAGCCAAACAACTGCCATCTTTAGGAGCTCCGCTGTGCTTGTGTGCAACAGATCACCACAGTTGGGCTTGTTGGCTGTTTATGTCCATGATGGACGCTCACCTGAGTACCCAGCTACTCCCTAACACCTGCTGTGTGTGGTTCTGCCCTAATTGCACATGGCCTGGGGAGGGCTAGGGTAGATAGGCTGGGGAGGTTGTGTGTATGTGAGGGTCTGTGCAGCTTCCAGAAGGCCTTGTCCCTGCTGGGTGAAGACTTCCCAGTTTGGCCTTTGAAGGTAAGTTCCCCTTTTGTAAATGCCCCTTCCCTAGACTCAGTAAGGATCACCAGGAGGGTCATTAGTTCCTGGAATGACCTGTGTGTGTTTGTGCCTCAGTTAGTCCTTGGGACTTAGGAGGAGGGAGACACATTGCTCCCATCCCTTACTCTCCAGAGGGGTTTAGCCACAGCTGAGAGGGAGAAGTGAGCTCTGCATCTCCCAGGGCCCAAGACTCCTTGCACATCTTCAGCTAGGACGTAGCCTCAGGAACTGATAGGTGACCTGCGACCTACTCAGGACAATCTCTAGACTCACTGCCCACCCCCAGGTCCCCATGATGCCCCCACATCCCCAGGTTTACCCAGATTAAGGCAGCTCACAGTGTGTCCCTCCAGCTCTCTGAGCATTTAAAGGTTATATACGCAGAGTCGCCCAACCTTCAGGTGACATAATGTGGCTTGGAGAAGTAGCCTCACCACTTTCAGCCTCAGTTTCCCCCTCCATAAAGCTGGCAATAATCCCTCCCTCAGGAACGGTGAGGGCTGAAGGAGTCGGTGCAGGTTTAACCAGGTCATGTCCATTGCTTCTTTCCGTTTTCTCAAAGATTGGGCCACAGTGGGTATGAGTGTGATTCCCCAGTCTCAGAGCTGTGAGACTCAGGTAGTGTCAGGCCTAGGGTCTGAATAAGTGTGGGGATGAATGAGGGAGCCTTTAAGAGAGCATGGGAGCAATCAGGCCACCCTGTGCGCTGCTGGCGGGCTCTTACCCTGGAAGCTTTACTTGGCATCTTGATGCCTCAGTTTCCCCACACAGTGGCTTGCTAAAGCAACATCTGAGCCATCCGTCAGAAGACCAAGCAGGTGACCATCTTGGGGTAACCCATTTCTCACCTTGACGATCCTTATCACCCTTGCTCTCTGTGACCCTGGGGCTCCCTGCTTCCATAGGGTGGTGTCCAGGGACCCCAGAGCGCCCCGCACTGCTGCCGTGAACTCAGGGGATGGTTGCAGGTTGTGGGCCACCAGTTTGTCCAGAGCACTGGCTGGCGACTGGTACAGGTCCATGTTGACCTGTGTCCCCAGGAGAGTTTCGTTTCTCCCTCAGCTTCTTGGGGCGTGCCCTGAACTAATAGACAGGGCTGTCATTTCCTCCTCCTCCCCCATTTCCTCTCCTTCCTGCAGCTCAGGGCGTTGTTGAGATTACCAGTTTATGGCTATACTTTTGCCTCGGTGTGATTTCTGAACCCCTGGGCAGACCGGACACCCTAAACACCAGGCTTTCTGAGTCAGTGGATGTACCCGCCCAGCAAGTCCAGTTATTCCAGGATCTGAAGGGGCGCTACCTGAAAGAACATGGGTGAGAGAGAGGAACCAGGCCAAGCAAAATTCTCTTGTCAAAGCCTCTGTTTATTAGCGTAATGGCAGCAGCTTATATAGTCCTTGAAAGAGGAATTTGGGTTGGGATAGGGGGCAGGGGTAGGAAGGAACTTTGCCAGGGCAGCAAAGGTCACCAATCAGGAATTGACCCCTAGACATGGGGCAGGCATTCGGTAAATAGGATGTGTTTGCTTGCGAACTCAAAAGGGAGTCCCTCGAGACAAGACGCGAGAAGGGTACAATCCACACAGCTACACCTGCCAAGCAGGCTGGCTGCCAGAGCTAGAGAGCCTATGTCTTTACCCCCTGCCATTCGGAGCAGAAGCTGCCAGGCAGGTTTGCTATAAGGAAAACTAGCCTCAGAAAACTACAGCTTCAGGACAGTAAAAGGAGGTTAAATATGCTTCTTATCAATTTTATAATTTTGCTTCTTGGTCAAAAGTCTTCTCTGTGCAAGTGGAAACCTTTCTTTTGTGATTCTAACAGCAAACAATTCTCTAGATAGTTGGAATGTGGGGCGGGTTCCGTTAACAAATAGTTCTCAATATAGTTGGGGTGTGGGGCTCTCTGCAAACATCCTTAGGACAATGGTCCCAGCTATCAAGATAGTTGAGATGTGAGGCAGGTTCCGTTAGCAAACAGCTCTCAAGGTAGCTCTCAAGTAGTCCCTGCTATCATCTTTGGGAAAATGGCTCCTGACAAGTGGAGGCTTCCTTGATCTTACCCAGGGACCCAGGACATGCTGCCACAGAGCACCCCAGAACCAGGGCCTGAGGAAGCAGATCCCCTCCACCCATGCCCCAGTTCTCATCTATTCTGTTTTGCTGTGAGGCCCTGTGGTTATGAGATAGACTCTCCAGGCCTCAGTTTTTCTGTCTGTAAGATGGGGTTATATTTGTAAACAACCATTAAACGCTCGGTGATGGTCTAATTTAAATATCAACTCACTCAGTCCTCTGCGAATTCTCACAAGGTGACCGCACTGACTTCTACAGTAGAGACAGGGTGGCTGAGGGACAGAGAGGTTGAATAAGTTACTCAGCGCCACACAGCATGACTCTCAGAGTTAGGATTTGAACCTAGGACTTCCATCTTGACTCTGTGCTCCCTGTTCTGCTGAGGCACAAGGTCGCTCCACGAGGAGGTGACAGGTTGAGGAGTGTGAGCCTGGGCTGCACACAGTCCTAGGTAAGAAGTGGGAGCTGCTGTGGTTGGCACCGTGTTATGGGAGGAGCCACTGTGAGGCTGAAGATACAAACAAGGTTAAGTATGAACTGATGAGTGAGGGCCTAAGGCAAGGCAGCCATGGTTCTGTGTGTGTGTGTGTGTGTGTGTGAGAGAGAGAGAGAGAGAGAGAGAGAGAGAGAGAGAGAGAGAGGGCCTAAGACAAGGCAGCCATGGTTCTGCTGTGTGTGTGTGTGTGTGTGTGTGTGTGTGTGTGTGTGTGTGTGTGTGTGAGTGAGTGAAGGCCTAAGGCCAGGCAGCCATGGTTCTGCTGTGTGTGTGTGAGTGAAGGCCTAAGGCCAGGCAGCCATGGTTCTGCTGTGTGTGTGTGTGTGTGTGTGTGTGTGTGTGTGCACGTACCGAGACTGCACAAGCATGGGACAGACAGGTCTGATGCTGGAAACCTGGTGTCTGCAGAAGGTGATCATACCTGGCAGAGAGAGAGAGAATGAGAAAGACAGACAGACAGTGACACACACACACATGAGACAGAGAGAGAGAGAGAGAGAGAGAGAGAGAGAGAGAGAGAGAGAAAGTGCTTACTTTAAACCAACCTGGGTCTCACCAAGCTAATATGGGCACCCCTAGACCTGCATGCAGTTTTGGGGGGCACAATTTGGGCACTACAGGAGAGCATATGGTTTTAGGAGATAGTTTGATGTCAAGTGTTGATATCTGTCCCTGATTCCGTTCTCTCAAGAGGCTGTGGCCTTGGGGATAGATAAAAACCAGACTTCCTTGGTCTGCTGAGGCCACTTTAGCTGGGGAGGAGTTAAGGGGGTTCAGAGTGTGCACAACAGTTACGGGGTGAATGATGTGGGGGAAACAAATGCTGTGGGCACCTCCTGGGCCTGGGTCCCAGGGATCTGTTTCCCGTTTTAGAGCTGCTAGCTCAGGTTACCTCCTCTAGCACCCGTAGTTCCTAGAGGACCAGTTGGGTCCAGGACCTACACAGGTCCAGAGAGGGACCAAGGAGCTGGGATGTCCCCAGCTTTTCTCCAAGAACAGAGACCTAGGTCTAACTCTCAGGACCTCAGGATGAAATCTTATTAAGAGATGGGGCTGTGCTAAATGACGGTCATGAGTATGGGTCCTGGCCTGAGGCCATTGGATTCCACTGTGATGGAGACACTGGACAGAGCCGTGTACACAGGGCACTGTGGTGTGAGGAAGGAGGCAGGGAGTGGACGGCAGGAGCCAGAAGATAGAAGCCGGAACAGTCTCCCTTGGGACACTGGAAGGGACCAGCCCGCTCATGTGTTGACCTGGGTCTCCTTGTTCTCCACTGTCAGTCTGCCACAGGCATATTTACACACTCTGTCCCTGCAGCCCCGGGGAATGAACCAGTCCCCTTGCCATCTCCCTGGCTCTCTGTACCTCCCCCCGACTCCTTTGCTATGTTTCTTCTGGTTTTTAATCCACCTCTGGGTCTCTGCAGAGGCTGCTCCCAGGGCCTTGCATGCTCTTCCACATCAGCATTTGGTTGGAGGTTCTGTGTGCTCTTGTCCTTGGCTAAGACACCCCTTCCTGGGGTAGCAACTCAGGAGCAATTTCTAGTTTCCAGGCTGAGTAAGATACCCTGCTTCTCCCTTCTCCAGGATCTTGTCCTGAGGAAGGGGAGAAAGAAAGAGAAGGAAAGCCATGGTCGTGGGGGTGTGGGGGTTAAGACTCTGCAAGGCTGAATAACTAAGTAGAACTTTGGGAGGGAGCGTTGGGATGTTGCAGATCCAGAGCTGAATTATCATGGGCTTTCTTCAGTCAGTCGTTGAAGTCAGTCGTTGGCCACCCCCGTGTCTGGTTTACATCCTTGGAACCATCCTGCCAAACCCTTGGAATGGTCTGACAGTGGTACACGTGTTTTAATCCCAACACTCAGAAGGCAGAGGCAGGAGGATTTCTGGTGACCTGATGCCAGCCTGGTTACGTAGAGGGCTCTAGGACAGTCTGGGCTACTGTAGAGACTGCCTCTAAAACAATAACAAAAATCCTTGCCAGAGCCAGAGAGCTGCTTCCTTACCCCTGTGGGATGGAACACCTGCTGCTTCCCTGCTGGGAGGATATAAAGGGTCTGGTTTAAGGTCACGGCCACTAGCAGGGTTGAGACCCTGGATCCAGACCAGTTGGGCTCTGACACACCGGCAGCGAGGCTTAGGCATGATACCACAGTGCAGAGAAGGAGCTGTGTGCACACACGTATGTGCCAGGGTGGCATGATACCACAGTACAGAGAGGGAACTGTGTGCACACACATATGTGCCAGGGTGGCATGATACCACTTTGCAGAGAGGGGGCTGTGAGCGCACACGTATGTGCCAGGATTTGTATGAAGACTGGCCAACGGGGATGTCTCACCCTAGGGGTCAAAGTCAGCAACAGGACATTCTTTTTGAGCTGGGGTGTGTCAGTCAGCATGTGGGGCTCATCTGGTAACTTCCGGTCAAGGCTTCCTGTCCTCTATGTCTGATTTCGCTGCAGGAACACCACCCTCTTCCCAGGTGCTTGAACGTTCACAGGTCTGGGTTCTGTTTCCTCAGCAGTCAGGAGGTGGGAGTGAACCCTGGCCCTGGGGACTCTGCCTGTGAACTGTCCTGTCATGATCCCCTCCTGTTCACACCCACAGTGCCTCCTGGAACCCCCTATATCTCAGATATGGAGTCTCTGGTCCCTGGTTGGTTAGCGTTATTTAGGCAATGGGGGGAGGGCACCAGGAGGAGGGGCCTCACGGAAGGACTTTAGGCTATTAGGGAGCATGGCTTCAAAGAAGGTATATGAATCTCCATAGCAACAGAACAAATGTTGGAAATTAATATGAGAAAAGACCTAAGAGATGCCCGCAGGGAGAGAATGGATGTCACCCTTAACGTCACCTGCGAGCCTGGTGCTTGGTGTGATGTCACAAATGGAGCCGAGCAAAGGGCAGGTAGAGCGGTGACTTTTTCTGAGGTTGGGGGTTGGCATCGAACTCACAGAGATCCTCCTGCCTCTGCCTCCCCGGTGCTGGAAATAAAGCTGGGCACCACCATCTGAGCAGTGACTTCTGCTGTCCTCAGGTTTCTGCAAGGCCAGGATGGGCATGGGGCTCGGTTGGCAGAGTGCTTGCCCATGGTTTAACAGTGTCAAACTCTGGGCTCCATATAAGCTCACATCACACGTGCATGCACACACACACACACACACACACACACGCATGTGTGTGCATGCACACGAGATTCTAGAACTGAGTGCATGTTTTGTACAGTCCACTCCTTTATCACACAGATGAGGAAACCATGACTTGCAAATATACTGACAGGAAGGGCTTGGACAACCACCCTCCCAGCCTGATGTTTAACACACCAGAAGACCACCTCTTGCTTCCCCTTGTTCCAGAATCTTCTAGCTATCAGACTCACATTGAGATTCTTAAAGAAAGCCAGCTGAGTAGGCCTTCATCCATCTTCCTTTTGAGACAGTATTTATGTGTATATAGCCTAGGCTGGCCTTGAA